GAGAGCTATGGCTGAAGCCATTGTCCTTGAGCAGGTGTCTAGGGCATGTTTAGAGGTATTAATTTGTTGTTTTGCCAGCACCATGCCCTCCTTCTGGATGATGCGGGCTGCCTGACGCTTGTCTTCTGGAAGGTTTGCCAGAAGCTCGGAAAGCCTCTCCCACAAAGTGTATTGATATCTACTCATACATGCTAAGTAGTTGGTGATCTTCACCCGTAGTGCTCCAGTAGAGTAGAAATGTCGCCTGAATGCATCTAGCTTTCTGCTCTCCCTGTCTGAGGGGGCAGAATGGGTTCTTTTCGACTTGGATGAGGAAGTTACTACCATTGAATTTGGTTGAGGATGGGCAAATAAGAATTCTGCTCCTGTTTCAAAGGTGGTTTATGGGAATGGATTAAAATAAGATCATATCCTACTTAAACCTCCACTACCATATCCCACCCAAACTCTTTATTTTTTAATTTATATCTTGCTTTTCTTCCCAGCAAGGACCTGAAGCAGCTCATCACAGAGTCCTCCTCCTTCACTAAGGTAGGTTAGGCTGAGGTACTGTGACAGGCCCAAGGTAACCCAGTGAGTTTCCATGGCAGAGCAGGGATTCGAACCCAGTTGTTCCAGGTCCTAGTCCAACATCCTGGCCCTCCAAATCACTCCATTTATACCTCTAGGGAGAAATTTCAACCTTCCTCAACACTTGCAAGGGTGGTTAAATTATACATAAAACAAATGGCATGTTTCCATAGAGAGGTCTGACACCTGTGTTGAGTAAATAACCAACCCTACAGATTTGTTTCCACACTGGAGTATTTGAAAGTGGTCTTTGCACAAATTATAACAATTAACCTATTTTCACCTACTCTGAAATAAAAGCACAGCCCATTGAACAGTTTTCTCCCTATCCAAACAATAGGGCTGGGCAGGAGGGCACAGACTTTCACACTGTAATACTAACCAGAGTTACACCTTTCTAATTCCACTAAAGTCAAAGGGCATATAAGGATATAGCACTGTTAGTATGTACAGTATTTATCTAGAGAAACAAGACATATCTCTCATATTTCAAGAATGCTTGGGCAAGACAGGTTCCCTAGGAATTCTGTTTGAAACAGATATAATCTACAGTTTTTAAAAAATACAAAAGCCTCTAGGCTTCTTGAAAGGGATCCTAAGGGCTGGGTCTGGTGAAATGCTTCCACTTGTACGGTAACTTGTTAAGGTGATCACAGAAGCACATACATGCAGAAGGCTAATTCAATCCGGTATAAACTCATATGACTTTTCCTAAAGAAGCATTCCACAGGAATCGGTAATCTTGTTTGTGGACTGTTCTTGAAAAATGTTTGCATAATCCAGCCTGTCATAATTTTTCTGTAGGTAACTGATAACAGGACCTTTCAAGAAGATACTGCCTAAGTGAGATACTGGAATCACTGCTCTGTAGGTTTTTGATGCCTTTATCCATCTCCCCCCCCCCATTATGTTGACAACCTATAAAGTCTGCTCAGTACCTATGTATTAATTATTTATACTATATCTTCTATTTTTGGTTATGTTCTCCCTGTTACAATGGTTACAAAACATAAGATATTAATATCAAATATAAGACTCACCAGAGAGCGAGCATTTCCCCTGTGGACAACTTCCCTATCAAAGAGAAAAAGGATACAATCACCAAAGCAAATTGTATATAGAAGTAACTGAAGGAGGGATCCACTTGCCACAGCACATTGCAAACTGTAGAATACAAAACAGCTGTCTTACACCACTCTAAACTACCTTAACACCAGAGGCAAGAAATCCCAAACGAACCCATAGTCTCCCCTCCTTCTACATGATCATTATTCACAGGAAAAAAACATTTAGACACAAATTTTATCACATGACCTCAAATTTCTTGCTCTTCCTCTTATAATAAAAAGAGAAAGACATAACAGGAAAGACGAATGGTTTCTTAAAACCTTGCATTTTCCTATGGAAGGTAGCTGATAGCTAAATACAGACCGCGTACACAAGCTTGCAGGTTCAAGCTTCTGATTGAAGATATATCATCATAAAAGATGGCATTCTGATGCAACCAAATAAGCACAAGTTATGTATTGGCCATGTATAAGCATGTATTTCTAGAATCAAAAGCTAGAATGCAAGCATGGTATAGTCAAAAGGATGGGTTTTGCTTATCCATGAATTCTGTACACTCAAGAGCAGCACCAAATAGATAATTTAAGATCACACTAAATCATCCCAGATGTCAGTGAACGTCACAAACAGGCAGATCCCTACACCCAGTGAGTCAATCACCCAACTGACAACAGGGGAAACAGACCAGGGCAGATAACAAGGAAAACATGTAGCACAATACAGCACATTTCCTCAGCATCTTCCTGTGAAAAGATTTTAGAGATTAGGATACTGGTCACACTGTACTTTGACATTCATCTCAGGGAGCAGAGCAACAATTCTGCCCTGGAGCAAGGTGGAAATTAGCATCCTTGCTCCAATACAAGGCCACTTATTTGGTGCCTTAACCAGTTCAGTCATACCTTCACATTAGATAGGATTAAGACCACAACACTGTTTGGTCCAGGGACTTAGCTAGCAAATGGTTCATGATGTCTCAGATTTAGAGGGTGATTGCTACACATTACTTTGTGTTCTATGAGAATCATAATCATAATGTATTTTTGGGTTAAAATAGATGTCTAAGGAAGCTGATGTGCATCATGGCTTTCCAAGGCATATATACAACCCTACAAAATGAAAACATCTGCAATGCTTAATTATAAGATACATATTGTGAAGTGAAATTAAGAGGCAAAATCCTGTCTGATGTATTTAATTTAGACTCTGGTATCACTCTAGTATCACTTAGCTGCCTTTCTCCCTTGCAAAGCACAAGGTGGCTTATAATAGAAATAAAACCATTATTAAAAACATAATAAAAACAATATGAATAAAACAACAATTACAAACGAAGACATAAAAAGTCACAATTTACATTTACACAAAATCCCAAGCTTTTTGAGATATAAAATCTATAGTCTGGGATTAATGACTATTATTTAGAACATGTTTGAAATCATATAGCCTTAAAACTACATAAATTCCATAGCTGTGCTCTGCTCATACATGCTTCTTTCATTACTTTTCATTCCCACCATTGGGCTTCCATTTCCCTTTAGAGAAAACATATTTTGTGATCCTAATGGAACAAAGTTCAAACACTGGTTAATAACCATACTGAAACAAGGAAGAGAAAAATGGGAACATTGGAACACAACTGACAGATGTACTCATTGTTCAAAAATATGTTTCTTTCCGTTGACAGCAAAGATGCAAAGAGAAGTGGCTTAAGATGAGAAGAGTAAGAGTATGTGGATCCCAAAAGTATCCTCAAGAAGACACAACAGGTCTTTCGAAATGAACTTGGTGCCTACCCCAGGTTCTATTCGCATGTCACTTCCTCTCAGGTGGCCAGTACCATTCTGGTTATGCCTGTACACTTCATGCCTTCTCCCCTCCCTCTGAACTTGGTGCCTACCCCAGGTTCTATTCACATGCCACTTCCTCTCAGGTGGGCCAGTACCATGATGAATATCTGGTTATGCCTGTACACATCATGCCTTCTCCCCTCCCTTCAGTAGCCTCTACACAGTCACAACCTCCATTTCATTCCATCTTACCTGCAAAATAAAAGCGACCCCATACATAATGTGTTTTCCACACTCTCATCAGACTGGGAAGCTTTGGACAGCTCTGCTTTTTTCCTCCCAGTAACTCCCACTCACAGTGTCACAGGCACAAACATTAGGCCTCACTTTCTATATAATGCACTAAAGCAGGCCATCAGCTTCACAAATTTTAAGTCATGTGGGATTTGCTGAAAGTGATCATTTGACATTTCAGTTTTTTTTAAAAAAAACCTTAATCTGAACTCATCCTCCTAAAGCTTTGAAATAACCCCTTCCATAAACATTTCCTCCTTAAGGGACTCTCTGCTCAGTTACTCCCTTCACCAGTTTTTCCTAGTCATCTGGCAGCTACAGGTAGCTGCTCCTCTCTTGAGGCTGATAACTTTGACCACAATTACACAGTTTTTATCCTGGGCAAAACTGTTGATCTCACCAATACGGCTTCCCATATGTTCCTTCTCAATTTTACTGGTGTTGGAAACTAAACTTTTCAGCTTTCCTAATAATTCAGACCCACAATTCTGAGTTTCTTCACCCTTTTTTTTACAGAACAATCCCAAACTCTTGCATGCTCAAATTTGCCACTTGGTCTTCCAAATGTCATCTGTATTCCATACAACATCCTGTAACCAAAGTTCCTTTGCTTGATCTGGCTGCAAAATTCTTATTTTAACTTTTTGGTTAACCATGCTTCAAACTCAGATGACTCACTCAATAGCTGCTCATTGATTTTTGTCCAAAAACACCCCAATGTTTATTTTAACTTGTTACCTTGCCTCATGATACTAAAGTGATAGCTAATTTCTTCATCTTAATACACCCTGCAGAGAACAGCAGTTCTGGCATTGTGAACTTCACTCAATGAGGTTACTGTATGCTGGCTAATAAAAAGCTGCTCATTTCTTGCTTTATTTAACATAATTTATAGCCTGCCTTTCTCATTGGGACTGAAGGTAGATAAGCCGCCAATTACTATAACAAGCACATACGGTAATGACACAATAGCTTTCAAGGACCCAATATTGGCGATGCTTATCAACATGGAACGACTTACAACAAATCAAGGTTTACTTCTCTGCTGAGACAAGTTACACCCGGTTGACAACGGGAAAAGCCTTAGGTGCTTGCAGCGAACCATGACGCAAGGGCAGTTAGGGTTACGGAGCTGTAGTACGACCAATCTCACTAACTATGGGCGACCACCCTTCGCACGTATGAACACGTGCGCGTTTCCCCACGGACACATCCTTCGGGCGTCCAAGGCTGTCACCGGGGCGCCAACCTTCAGAGCCACCTTCACGCCAGGCAGGTTCTGGGCCAGATCCAGCCTTGCAACCGTCCTCACACACTGCTCTCCGTTCACAGCCCCAGACTTTCCTCCCACATGACTTACATCACACCGAGGAAAAGGGGCGCTGCTCTTCTGATGGAGGTGCTACCAGGAGACCCCACCCCCCCCCCGCCCGGGACCAACAGCCCTCGAACACCCCCTTCGCGGCCTTCGGCCATCTATGGATAGGAGGGGGGGCAACCGCTAGGAATGACCGCCTCCCCCCCTCCCCCCCCGCAAGGCGCCCAGCTGCCCCGGCCTCTGACGCCCCGCGTCTCCCTGTTGCCCTTCGCGCCCGGCCCCCGCAGCCCCTCGTGTCTCGGGGTCTCGCCGCCCTCTTCCCTGCCTTCCCTTGGGCGGTACCTGTCGAACGGCGCCGAGAGAGCGGCCGAACGCCCGGTTGAGACAACGAGCCCGGGCCAGAGAAAGCCACAGCATCGCGGCAGTGGGAGCGGCGACGGCAGGAAAAGACCCAGGGCGCTCTCACCGGAAGCAGGCCCGGCGGCGGAGACCGGAAACGGTCTGGGATCGACCAACCGAGGTTGGTGGAGAGGGGGAGGAACAAGTGGCCTGTTCTACATACGTCTAACCGAAAGACGGGCGAGGAGTGTGGGTTGAGCCGTCCTGGGAGTGGGAGGAGCAGGACTAAACCACGTATCAGAGAGGAGGAGGGAAGATTCTACTTGAGACGGGCCATGGAGTTAGCTCAGGCGGGCTGGAAAAGTGGGGAGGCGACCGCAATGAAGGCGGTGAACCCCCTTGTTTACTGCGCTGGCAGTGGCAGCCGGAGCCAAGAGTCGCCTTGCACAGGCTCCGGTCTCTGGCTGCATCCGTCCCCAGTTTTCAGAAATCGACATAAGTAATTATGGACGGTCAAAAGTGATTTAAGGTCCAATATATCTCTTTTCAGCTTGTCTTTCGATTTATTTCTATTCCAAAAAGTAAAGGAGACCAGACATGTAAAATCTTACCTTATAGATACTGTATTATATGTTAGGCGTTATGTAGTCTCATGTATTGAATGTTATGAATTAGAAAGTGATTTAAGGTGCAATTGTAAAGACACCTTGGGAGGTAGTCCCGTTGAACAGACCTGAATAGGACCCTGAGTAGACCTGTTTAGGAGTACTCTCTTAGTACACCAACATAGAGAGAAATGCTTCCCTGGCTCAGACCACAGGTTCATTCAATTCATGATCCTGTTTATCATGTAGCAGTGGCCTGCCAGATGCCCCAGATAATTATGGTTATTTTTAAATTGTTTTATTATTATTAAATTTCTAGTCTACCCTCCCCTGCATAGCAAGGTTCAGGGCAGATTGCAGCAGTAAAATAAGTTACAATAAAATATTTTATTATTTATTTATGTATATTAATTAAATTTAATTAATATTAAATTAAAAATAGCCAACACTATGTCAACCATGAGTAAAATCCAATTATAAACATATCATATGGCATCATATGATATACTTACTCTAGGGTCCACTCTACCTATATATATGGTAGGTGTAACTGGTGTTACAGGAGATGGGTAGATGAGTAGAAACCAGTAGGATAAAGGTGCATTGAGGGAAGCCAGTACTAATCAAACTCAGCTGTAGGTCTGGTAGAACATCTCTGTTCCAGGGCTGGCCCAGTGTCCTAGCCGCACCTTCCTTAGCCACGTTTGTGGATGGGTGAGAGAGCTGCTGCTTGCAATTTTGAAGGAAGAGCACAGAGGCAGTTTAGCTGCGCACCCAGTGGGTGATATGACATCACCTGGACTCTAGGCAACATGAGTGACAGCCTTTTGGTCTCCATTTGGCCATCTAGTTTATAGACAAAAGGTATGGAAATAAAGAAGAGTCCGGAATTAAAATGTGGGAAAGGGTATCCTGGTTTATTCCGTGTCCTATTTTTATGCTGCTGAGGCCAGGGTGAGCAGCAAAATTTCCATCTGCGTGTGGGAGGGATAAACTGGACAATTCCCAGTTCCTTGTTCCCAGCATCGTAGTAATCATCAAAACATTGAAGTTATACTTATGGCATAAATAAAGCAACTATCAAACTATGCTGCCAGAATTTTTCTAACCCTTTTTGCAAAGCTATTATAAAAGACTATTAGAAGAGTCCTGCAAAGATCTCTTCCCCATTGACTGCTCTAAATCTCAGGATACCACCAGGGACTGCAATAACTGCCATTAGGGGTGTCTGAAGGCCAAACTACATGTTACACTGTTTCTGGGTCCATTCTGGGTCCTTTCAAAGCAGACATGCCTTGGGATTTTTCTGTCAAAATGTAATTCCCAGGTGCATGGGGACCCAATTCAGATTGGGTTTAAACCACCTTCCTGTGACATTTTCCTAATCTGAAATGGCCCAGGGGACTGTTCCACTAGGAAAACTGATAGATTACACATAGATTTCCCCAACAGGGCAAACAACAGCTCCCTACACAGAGAAAATTGCATGGGGGGGGGGGGCACTGAAGCCATTCCCTTCATAGTCTTGCTCCAAATTGGGCTCTTACTTACACACCAGAGAATTAAGTCTTAACACAACACAGAACTACCAGAGCACACATGTGACAGACCTAGAAACAGCATAACATGTAGTTAAATGCCTTCAAGCCAAACTCCTTTTGCTTGCTCTCTTCCCTTCAGTGCAGTTCATCCTTGATCTGAAGTAAAGCTACCCACACATATACTCAACATGTAGATGTCAGCTGGAGAGATGCTGACAGTCTTGGAGCTTCTTGCAAGTTGCTTTGGTTTGCATCATCCTGAATGATTTACTGTCATCTGAAAACCTGGCTATTACACTGTTGATCCCCCAAGCCAGATAATTAACATTGCCATCCTAAGAACAGTTTCCTGGGAGTAAGCCCTATTGAGTAGACTTCAGTAGGATTTTGATTGCACTGTTCAAAGCAAATTACACAGCACTGGTCTGCATACATGTCTCTGGGGGGACCCCACTGCTTACTTTTCTCCATGATGAGAACTGTGCATTTACTCTCACTCTCTGCTTCCTGTTGTTTCACCAGTTATTAATCCACGAGGGTAACCTGTCCTTTTATCCCATGAATTCATCTATCAGCCTATCCCATTTCATAGAATCATAGACTCACAGAGTTGGAAGGGGCCATACAGGTCATCCAGTCTCACCCCCTGCTCAATGCAGGATAAGCTTAGAGCATCCCTGACAAGTGATTTAATTTGGAGCCTTTGGTGAAGATCATTGTTAAAAAAAAAAATTGGAAAGTCCAAACCCATAATGTCTACTAGCCAGGATGAAAATAAACTGGTATGGTCTGGTACAGATAAGAAAGTTTTGAAGGTGGTACCCACCCCCTACTGGTGAAAAAGTGGATTATTTTTATTGCTGCTACCCATTTGCTTTTATCCACATGCATACTAACGCACTTGAAGATTGGCAAAAAGTTGGTGAGGAAGGACTTCCCTTTGCAGAAGGATGCTGATTCTTCTTCAGTTATATATCTCTATAGGATTAATCATTCAATTGTAATAATTTCCACTAATTTACATGGGTCACGATCAGACCAACTGGCCAGTATTGTCCCTCTTGTCTTCTGGATCCCCTTTGAAAAGAGAAATGATGCCTTTCTCAAACCACTTTCAGTTCTGTCTCCTGCATAGAGAAGCCGCCCTGGATACACAGGGATTCATTCCTTGCATTGAACCTGACCTTTACACTTCTATTCTGCATATTCAGAAGGTCCAGGAAGCTGATTGGCTGCTGCCAGCCTTCCTCACCTCCCTATCTGTGACTGAAGTTCTATGATAAGAGGGATCCCTTAATGACAGCGCCAATTCTTCAGAGTCCCTTTTTTATTCAGCTGTTCTCTGGAACGGCAGGACTGCATCCCACAAACCTAGGAGCTAAGGTGAGTGCCCTGTTGCCTGGAATGCAAGGGATGAAGGTTCGGGCTTCTACAGAGGTAGCTCCGTAGCTACCATAGCTCCCTGAGGTCAGTACTGGGCAGTCTCTCCATGGAAAGATTTTGTGGATTTCCCTCTTGGTGCTTAACTTTGTAAGCTTTAGCTAAACTATAAAAGCACCCAATTTGTAAATCTGAATGTCTTTGTAATCATGCTTTTTAGCCATCTCTTGTTAATGATTTTTTCATAGTAATTTTGGAAATATTGTAGCCATTTAAAACATAGTTGTTCCTTTGGGCAGACTCTGGTAGCGTGGGATGTCTGGGGAGGGTGATGGGCGGGTCAGTCTGACAAGCTGCTGATTGCTTTGGAAAGTATGACAAAGTAGCCAGCTATTCCGGTGTGTGCCCTTCACAGTGTGTTCAGGAATGACTTTAGAAATTTTTAAGGATCCTTTTTCTGGAGGACTTTTTGAGAGATGTTTTGGAGGGAGTGTGTCTTGGGGGAATGGTTTACTGCTGGATGCTCTGAAGATTACAGAAAGGCAGCCTCTTTGATGGCAGCCTCTGGTCTCTTGCCATGATACCTGCACAGTGCATTCAAGCAAACTTTATTTACTTTATTGTTCTTTTATATTATTTAGGCAAAGATACAGACAGTAAATTAAAAACAACACAATGAAGTATTAAGTGCTTTACAAACATTGTGAGCATATCCTATATTGGCACAAATCTGGTGCCTAGATAGGACATACAGTATACAGGACACAATCTATACAGAATATCAGATCCCTATAATGGAATTCAACATTGACCTATAAAATGCAAATAGAAGCATTCATGGATCCAACATACGCAGGGACAAATTAACAATAAAGATTATGCTCAATGTCCATTTAGAAAATCCTGAAGATCTAGTCCTTATGGCTGCAGAGAAACATTTGGAAGTATTTACGCTATGCCTCCTGAAGTCTCGGAGACCAAAGGGCTTCCAGCCATTAGTGGGTTGACATGCTGGTACTCTGCATGGGTGGGTCCTTGTTTTTCTTCCATGGCTACAAGTTCCTTCCTCCCTCTCTCCTGCATGTCCCTCCCTCATGCTCATACGTTTGCCTCTTTCCAGGCTCAAAACTACTGTTCTTCCCTTTAGCTCCTCTTCAAACTGCATTTTGTGTAGAATTGTGGAGCATTTAAACAGCTCAGCTTTGGGCTCTGGACTGAATGCCCCTCCCACCATCGTATTACTGTTCCATCACCAGCCTTTATCTGACTTATTAGTGCAGCAGATATAGCATGCACTAAAAAGGTAAAGGTTCCCTTGCTCGAAAGCCAGTCGAGTCTGACTCTAGGGTTGCGGTGCTCATCTCCGTTTCAAAGCCGAAGAGCCAGCGCTGTCCGAAGACGTTTCCGTGGTCATGTGGCCGGCATGACTAAACACCAAGGCGCATGGAACGCTGTTACCTTCCCACCAAAGTGGTCCCTATTTATCAACTGGCAATTTCTTGCTTTCGAACTGCTAGGTTGGCAGGAGCTGGAACTAGAGATGGGA